GTGCCCAGCCAACTGAGCTACCCAGCCACCCTAGGGACAGCTTTTCCTTACAGAAAATTTCTAGTTAATAAATGTATAAGGAATAAGGGAAATCAAAAATTATCATTAGAACACTGCAGTAATTGCTGTAAGCAAGATCTACTAGTGAATCCTAAAATTAGTGGGTGAAAATTGAAGCAGAAACAGGGTATTTGCATGGTCACCAAGTATTGCCCCCCAAACTGGTTACTAATTACAAAAGGAAAAATAGTAACTTTACAACAGATAAACCCACTAGATACCACCTAACTAGCTGCTCAAGGTTAATCTCATCAGTCCTAAGACATCTCAACTTTATACCCCCTGATACAATGCACTGAGAAGGGCATATCACCTCTGTGGTATTCTTTCTCAAAAATTAATAACTTCAGTCTCACTGGAGAAAACAACAAACAAATCCCAGTAAGGGAACACTGTCCAAAATACTGACCTGATCAGTTCCCTTCCAAAATGTCAAGGTCATGAAAGACTAATGAGGAACTATCATGAATCATAGGAGAATAAGGAGATTTGGTGATTAAGTACAATGTGGGATCCTGGATTAGATGTTGTAATAGAACATCAGTGGAAAGGACATCAGTGGAAAAACTGGGAAGATCCAAATAAAGTCTGTGGTTCCGGGGTTTTTTTTTGTCTTTTTTTTTAGTTGTTCTTCTGAAGAAAGTTGTAGAACAGTGAGAACATTGCTGTGTCTGTGTTTTTTAAAGTTGTGTATGTGTATACACAACCATACAAAACCAAAGTTTTAAAATACACACACATATACATAGAAACATAGAAGTAGAGATGCAAGATGGCTGGGGCGGGGGGGTGCGGGGAGCATCATAGACCAGGCAAAAGTCATCTAGGAGAAGGTGGTCACCATCAAGAAAGTGAAAAGACAAGCTATGGAATAGGGGAAAATATTTGCAAGTCATATAATTATAAGAGACTTGTATTCAAAATATATAAAAAATCCTTTTAAGTTGATTTTAAAAAAAACAATAAACAAATAAAAAATGGGCAAAAGATCTAAATAGACATTCCTCCAGGGAAGATATACAAATGGCCATTAAGCACATGAAAAGCTGCTCAACATCCTTAATTAGAGAAATATAAACCATTTCCTTCATGAGGGATCACTTCACACTCAGGTGACTAGAATTCGAGAATCAGACAGTAGCCAGTGCTGAGGACATGGTGAAATGGAAACCCTCATACACTGTTGGAGAAATGGAAACCTCATACATGGTGCCTTCCCTTTGAAAAACAATGTGGCAGTTCCTCCAAAAGGTAAACCTAAACTTACCACGTGATCCAGCAAGTCCCCTCCTGAGTATACACACCCAAGAGAAGTGAAAATTGCATCCACACAAAAACTTGCACATGAACGCTCACAGCAGCGCTACTCCTGAGAGCCAAAACGTGAAAACACGTCCATCAATAGATGAAGAGATAAACACCTGATGGCACATCAATTATTCGTCAGAATATTATTGGGCCAACAAAAAGAACGTAGTGCTGATCTGCGCATCAGCATGGCTGAGCCTTGCAGACATGAGGCAAGTGACAGAAGCCAGTCACGAAGACCGCCTGTTTGAGTCCATTCATCTGAGGTGTCCAGAAGAGGGAAATCTATAGACAGAAAACAGATTAGTTCAGGGGCAAGGGGGTGCTAATTAAAGGGTAATGAAAATATTCTACAGTTGTCACGATGGCCTAGATCTGTGACTGCACCATGAGCCACTGGATTGCACACTTTAAATGGGTGAGTCATAGGGGATGTGAACTATGTCTAGAAGCTTTAAAAAAAAGTCCAGGAGGAAGTGGCCACCAGGGGCACTTGTGCCTGAGAAGGTGAAGGGGGTGAAAAAATCTTGTTTGGGTTGAGCATTGAGGCAGTTAACTGCTGACGTTGGACTGAGTCGAGGAAGGAGTGAGAAGTGAGGCTGGGTGTTTTGTTTTGTTTGGTTCTAGAAGTTTGAATTGGAAGGGCAGAAGAGGGCACTGTCTGGGGAAATGTCAGGGGGAAATTATTTTGTAGATGAAAGACACTTGAGAAGCTTTAACAGCGGATGGGAAAGGTCCCTTGAGGAGGTAAATACTGAAGACCTAAGTGGGGATGGGCCAGGGCAGGAAAGACTGGCCTTGCCTGGGAAGGCGGCAGCTGGTCTGCTGTACCAGGAGGAAATGGGGAGAGGGGAGGTACAAGGGTTCTGATGGGGCTGGGAGGACAGTGGCAGATTTTAGGGGTTTTCCCTCTGCTGGCTTTAATCCCCTGGGGAAAGGAGGGCAGGCAATGGAGGAGAGTGGAGTGGGTGTGAAGCAGCCCTTAGAGGATAAGAGTGCAACTCTAACAGTTAACCTCGGTGGGAGTGCCAGCCGTGCTGATGAGCTGGTTGGGGTGGCTTTCCTTCGGTGAGGACAGAATAAGAAACAGTGAGCAAAAGCCTGAAGACAGAAGTGGTGTCAAGCCCCGTCCTGTCCTATCCTCAACCTCTAGACTCTGTGGGGGAAAAAAGCATTGATCTAGAAGGCTCAAGTCAGGGAACCCCAGGGATCTTCTAGAATTGTACCATCCAGGACAGTAACCACAAACTGCATGTGGTTGTTTAAACTTAAAATTCATTTCCTCAGTTGAACTAGCTACATTTCTTTTCTTCTTCTTCTTCTTCTTCTTCTTTTTTTTTTTTTTTTTTAGATTTTATTTATTTATTTGAGAGAGAAAACATGTGGGAGCATGAGTGTGAGAGTGGGAAAGAGGGGGAGGGAGAAGTGGGCTCTCTGCTGAGCAGGAACTCAATCCCAGGTTCCTGGGATCATGACCTGAGATGAAGGCAGACTTGAACCCACTGAGTCACATAGGCGCCCTGAACTAGCTTCATTTCAAGGGCTCAACAGCCACATGTAGCTAGTGGCTACCGTATTGGATGGCACAGAATAAATGTTGCATCATCACAGAAAGTTCTACTGGACAACACTTCTAGAAAAGTGATTCTCAAACTATTTTGGCCTGAGGACCCCTCCAACCTCTTAAAAACAGGAACCCCAAAGAGCTTTGGTTTATATACATTATACCTTTTGACATGTACTGTCATATAAATTAGAACTGAGAGTTTTAAACATTTAATTAACTAAGGTAATAAACCCATTATATGTTAACATATTTTATGAAAAGTAACTATATATTTTCCAGGACCAAAAAAAAAAAAAAAACACAAAAAAAAAAACCCTGAAAAGAATGGCATATATGTTCTTGCATATATGTCATGTCTGACTTAATAAAAGGCAGCTGGATTCTCACATCTGCTTCTATATTCAGTCTGTTGTGATATCACATATCATGTAGTCTCTGGAAAATGCCACTGTATACTCATGAGAGAATCAGAGTTAAAAAAGCAAATAATGTCTTAGTAGTAGTATGAAAATAGTTTCAACTCTGTGAATTCCTTGGAAGAACGTCAGGGTCCCTGGACCATATTTTGAGAACCAGTGTTCTAGAACAGCTTCCATTTGGCCCAAAGGAACTTGTCCCTGAGAGACTGAGTGATTTGCCTAAAGCAACACAGGAAGTAAATTGCAGTGTTGGGACCAGACTCGCCGGCTGCCTGCTGGCTAGAATGGGTCCAGCTAGGCTTTGGTCAGTGGGGACTTGGCTCAGAACACGCAGTGTCTGTGTTCTGAGCCCCTTCCCTCTCCCCACATCCAGCAGCTGCTTTTTTTTGTTGTTGGGTTATGCTGTGGGCTGGGAGAGGGGAGGTAAGGGGTGTTGGGGCTCAACAGGACCGGGGCCCTTCCTCTTGCCTGCCTGGGCGGGCTGGGGGACTGATCCTACTGTGGGTCAGAAAGAACCTACACTAAGGGATGAAGGTTCTTGCAGTGCTTGTGAAGAGGAAGCTGGACGGGGCCGCAGGGGCCCCTTCCCCATGGACACATGCTTCTCAGTGGGGCTATTGTGTCCTGGGGCCAGTTGTCAGGAGGAGGGAAGGAAATTCTTGTCTGTCCTCTTTCCCTGCGGGGGTGGGGGGGGAGACCAGTTGGAATTCTTCGGGCTCAAGGATGCTCTGGGCCGGGATTAAGGTGGCTACTTTCGGGCCAGGAATACCCTGGGGCACCAGTCCCTCTGTTCCCTCCCCACACCCACGGCAGCCCCGGGCTGATATGTCTGGAAAAGAGTGTTTGCTCTGGGTTCAGAAGTCGCTGTTTACAAGTGGACTCTTGGGTGTGACGGGGATTCCAGAAAGCAGCTGGGGGATGGGGGGAGCAGGGGGGAAACGGTTGTTGTTACGGATGATTCTGCTATTAAAGCGAGCTTCTCCATCTCTGCCTTCCCACAGCTGCCCACCCTCCCCCACCTCCTGGTCCCTGGCTTCTGTCCCTAGAGGACTCTGGGGGGAACAGCTGGTGAGTGAGGGGCTCATCAAGGCCCAGAGCCCTTGGCTAAGGGCTGGGGTGAGGGAGCAAGGGAGCGAGGAAGACAGGCTTGCTGCCACCTCTCTAGTCCCTTCCTCCTAGGCCTGGGCCCAGAGTTCAGTGAGGGGTCTTGGCTGCTCCCTGGCTCGGCAGAGGGTAGGCGCTGCAAACCTTACTCCTTTGCCCTGACCGATGGAAAGGCCGGGACAGTCAGCTGTCTTTGGGGTCCTGTGACTGCCTGGGCTGAAGAAACCCAGTCACCAGATTCATTCAGCGATCAGGCTGAGCCAGCCCTGTCCCCAGGTTACCCAGAGCCCTCTGAGCAGCTGCTCCCCCTTCCCTGTCCCTGGTTGCTGCCAACAGCCCCCCACCCCCACTGAAGGAGGGCCCAGGAGGCTCTGGTCTTCCTCCCTTCCTCTCCCTCCCTCCCCTCGGCACTGAGGTCACCTCCCTCTGAATCAGGCCTTTGTGGGGGGCGGGGCTGCCCGTTGGCAGTTCTGGCGGGAGAAGCCTCCAGTTCAAGCTGCAGCTCCATCTCTACCCAACGTGGCCCACATCATGTGTTCCAGACCCAACATCCAACATCCAGGGGCGTCGTGGGACCACGGGAGGAATGTGTGAAGCCAGGGCCATCCTGAAGAACCCAGGTTGGGGGTTTTCCAGGCCCGGGGTGGGGCTGAGCCCAGAAGCTGTGAGTAGGAGCTGTGGGGCCTGAGGGAGAGGGGGGTGTGCAGCCCCCGGGAGAGGGACCTCACTGACGCCCCGCAGGGATAGCCGCTGGGTGGGTTGGTTTTTTCCCCCATGAGATTTAGGCCAAAAACCCAGATGGAGATGGACCAGATTCTTGACTGACCTCAGACTGGGAGCTGAGGTGGTAGTAGCTTTTTAGATATCCTAGAAGAGAGAAAAGCTGTAGGAAGTGTTCCTTCCGCCATAGAAATCTTGAACTCTGACTGTGATCCTGCTCATAGCCTGCCCTGCTCTGGGCACCAAGTTTATTTATTTATTTATTATTTTTTAAATTTCTTTAAGATTTTATTTATTTATTTATTTGACAGACAGAGATCACAAGTAGGCAGAGAGAGAGAGGGGGAAGCAGGCCATCTGCCAAGCAGAGAGCCCAATGCGGAGCTCCATCCCAGGACTCTGGGATCATGACCTGAGCCGAAGGCAGAGGCTTTAACCCACTGAGCCACCCAGGCGCCCCATGGGCACCAAGTTTAAATGCAGGCCTCTTCCCTGTGACTCAAGCAGTCTGGGCTGCCGGCTTCCTAGCCCTCTGCTTGTGACCCTGCAGACGGAGAGAAGGCCTCTCTGTCCCGGGTTGGCCAGACCACCTCAACTGAGGGCAGAAAGCTTCTCCCTAAAGTGAGGTTGAGTCACAGCCTGTCTTCATTTCCGGAGCCTCTCTGAAGTCCAGCTGGGGAGGCAGAGACCATTCCATGTGACAGAGCTTCTGCTTTGGGGTGGCTTATCACCTCCCCACCCTGGGATCCACAGAAACTAGATAGAAAGAGAGGTGGCAGTCAGCTCTGGGGCCCGGGGTGGGGCCAGGGGTTGCATATCGGGTTCCCACCGTCCTCAACCACAGACATCATCCACAGCGAATCCGCACGATCTGGGCCTCCTGGAGGCGTTTTTATTTTTGTTTCTTAAGGAAAAGATACTCTCCCAAAGCATCTTCGCCCTTGGTTTGGTTTTTGCTATCACTGTTGGGAACTCAAAGACCTGGGCTTTTCCCCAGTTTTATCTTCCTCCCTTTCTGGCCCTGGACACTGCGTGTTCACCCTGCTGCTATCCTTCACCCTCCTGGATCTGTCTCTCCCATCCCCCGCTACCCCGTGGAGCTGTCCACAAGGGAGAAAGGGTGAGGGGATTGAGGGGAAAGATAGGGCACACTGGGGGCACTGGGAGCCTCTAACGAGAGGAGGAGAAGGGTGTGCTGGGGTGCTGGGGTGGGGTTTAACTCTAGTGGTGGAGGTAACCTGAGGCCTTTTTTGGTTTTAACCCCTATTTATGTATGTGGGAAGGAGGATATTTCCTGAATTTTTTTCATTTTTTTCCAAGCCCATCCATTTCTAAAAATACCAAACACGATAATGTCATGAGCAAATGAAGTTATACTCAATACATTTTTCATGATGTTAAAATAACAAAGGACTTGAGATTGTTGTAGAGTGTTTTAAAAATAAGTATTCTAAGTTTTTTCCTACAGTTTTCAGAAGGCCACTGCCCGCTGTCTTCCATACAGGGGCACACGGTCTCTCTCACTGGGAAAGAAGGTTCTGTCCTTTTGCAATCACCCCTTTCTCCCTCTGGGGTGAAGGCTTGGTGAGCAGCTGGTTGGGGGAGCAGGTTGAGGAGGAGGGAGCCCTTGAGTGCGGGGTTAATGGGTATCACAGTCAGGTCTGCAGGGTGGCCCCACTGCCCAGACCTCACAGGGAGGAGCCTGGGCCTCGGGGTTCCTTACAGATGAACATCCAGCAGGGGCAGGGAACGAGGCAGGACTTCGCATCATACCCCTGTCAGGATAGGCTCGTGAAAAGTCCCCATTTATAGAGTTCATATAAGACCATCTACACTTGGGGCGCCTGGGTGGCTCAGTGGGTTAAAGCCTCTGCCTTCGGCTCAGGTCATGATCTCAGGGTCTTGGGATCGAGCCCCGCATCAGGCTTTCTGCTCTCAGGAGCCTGCTTCCCCCTCTCTCTCCCTCCCTGCCTCTCTGCCCACTTCTGGTCTCTATCTGTCAAATAAATAAATAAATAAAATCTTTAAAAAAAAAAAAAAAGACCCTCTATGCAGACGATCTCAGTTCATTCTCCAACATCCATTTGGGCTAAGTATTCTTAGGCCCCTATTCTAGGTGAAGAAACAGATTTTGGAGAGTCAGGATTCTCATCCAGATCTGTCCCATTGGCTTAGCTCCAGGAGCCCGGAGACTCCAAGGAGCTTATCAAAGATCAGGAGCTTACAGTGCAACTTACATGTGTACAGAGAGGCCGGCTATGGAGGGGGAAAGGGAGGCGGGCTGGGGGTGCTTCGTGAAACAGCCATGTGTCTCAGGTAGCCTCCTTCACCTGCAGGCACCACCCCCTCACCCCGGCCGGTGCCTCCCCTCATAAAGTTAGGATTGGGGGCAGTGGTGTCTGAGAAAGTGCCAACATGCTGCTTGGCACACAGGATACACTCCATTGGGAGCGTAATTTCCTGCTCTTTGGTTTCCTTAGTTCTGATATAGGTGTTGCGGAGAGCATGGTGTCCCCTTTGTGGTTGTGAGGATTAAAGAAGCCAGTGTGTGTTGCCAAAGGGCCATAAAGCCTCATGTGTTGCTGCTCATCCCTCTTTGGTATCTGAATGATGTCCGGCTGACAGCTGGCCCTTTGCACTGGCTCTTTTCTCAGCCTGCAGTGCTCTTCCTGCTCCAGGATTTCATCTGGATGTCCCCGAGCTCTCTGTTTTGGTGTCACCTCTCGGTGCCTTATTGGGACCTGACGTATGTCCATTGGCTTCTCTGTGCATTATCTGCCCCCGCCCCTAGTAGAATGGAAGCTTCATAGAGGCAGGGCTTTCTCTGGCTTGTTGATCCCCAAGACCCGGTGCCTGGAACACAACAGAAGCCCAGTAAATGCTTGTGGAATGCATGACTGATGTCATCTCCCTCTTTCTCCATAGGTGAGGTGACCATTCTGGCTGCTAGTGTGACCATTCTGGCTGCCAGCCTGGGTGAGGAGGCAGAGACAGGTGAGGGGCTTTGAGCCTGTGCCTGCTGTGGGGGACAGAGGGGGACTGGAGGAGAAGGGTGGGGGGTGGGGAAGGCATTCCCTGTGCCCCACTGCGAGGGACAGAGGAGGGGTGGTTCAGATGCCTGCCCACTGAGCTGCTAGAGGGCTCCTCTCTTCCTTGGTCTGAAAGTGCTAAGCTCCTTTTGTGGGGGCTACAGTGGGTCAGAGAGGCACATAATCTGTGGTGGACTGGGGGCCTCCCCCCTTTTACATTAGGATGGGTTTTCCCATCTCCTAGAAATTTCTGCACTCTTTGTGCAAAAGAAGGTCATGAGGACTTTCCTCTAGGAGAGAAATTGCAACTCAAATAGCAGCTGAAGGCTTGTCAGGTACAGCCAGGAACTACGGCCATAGTCCAGTGACCTATATGTCACGACACAGGACAGAAGCCTGGCTGTGCCGTTCGCAGGCAGTGACAAGCGAGTCACTTTTGTCATCAGTCTGTCCCAGACATGCCAGGTAGCCTACCAAGGAGTGGGAGTCTGGGCAGGGAAATGAATGCAGAGTCCCTGCCTTCACGGGTCGACCCTCCCGGGAAGGTGGTTCCAGAACCGCGAGGGAGCGGTGCCTGACCTGGACTTGGAGCAGGAACCCTGAAGAATACATAGGAAGGACTTGCTGAACGGAAAGCGGGAAGTATCAGAGGACCCCTGCAGAGGGAATGGCATGCACCCCGAGACTGGGCCACTGGGGCCTGGCCGGGAGCAGGGAGCTGGTGAGGCAGTGGGCTCACTCCCACTGTGCCTGGAAGATGGAGTGTGCCGGTTTGAGGCAGATTGCAGCAGAGAATTCAGCTTTCTTGGCCATTGGCCAGCATCTGTGTGACCTGTGGTAGGGTGAGCGCAGGGACTGAGGTTTGTAAAACAATGGTCTCCGTTCTTAAAATGGGAAGAGTATGTCTGTCCTGGGATCAGAAGAGCCTGAGTTGTTACAGTGTCAGTGGCCCATCAGTCACACTAAACTTCCAGAATGCTGACGAGGTTTTGTCGTCGTCCTCCTCCACTCTCCTCCGCCCTGTGCCCTGGAGTAGCCTGCCGGGTGTCTCTCACGTGTTCCCAGGGCCCGATGTCAGAGGCCATGGACCAGCCCGCTGGGAGTCCTGGAAAGCCGAGGCCAGGAGAGGGTGGTGACAGCGGCACGGAGCCGGGCACCTGCCAGGAGCTGCTGCACCGATTTCGGGAGCTAGAGGTGGGGCACCAGGCAGGGTGGGGGTGGCAGGGCCCTCAGGAGCTTGGGTAGGCTTTATGCATGTGGGTGGACCTTCCTCTCAACCGGTTTTGCTGGGCTGGAGCAGAGCCGAACATTCTTTAGCAAAGCTCCTCTGAGAAGCCCTTTCTTTGCTCTGAGCTCTCCAACCTGGACGGGGGGTGGGGGGGTGCGGCTTGCGGCAAGAGCATGCACAGGAGCAGGGCTGTCCTAGCCCCCAGATGGCTCCCTTCTTTATCCTTTTACCCTTTGTCTCCCCCAATTTTCATGCCCTCGCCGGTTTAGGAAAGGTGTGGTCACAGAGGCCCCAGGAAGAAGGGTTTAGATGACCCAGGACTTAGGGGTTGAGTGACAAGGATCCCTCCACCAAGCTTTTCGCCATATTCTTAAGACACTGCCCTCTTCCCTTCAGCCTCCTCTGCCCTCCCTCCAGGGAAACAATGATTATTTCTGGCACCTCCCAGCTTAGGTCCTCTTGGCCACCATGTCTCTGCAGTCCCTCTAACCTCCCTGACTGAGGTTGGGGTTTATAGAAAACCAGCTATCTCAGCTCTGCCTTTCTGATGCCTTCCATCCGTCTCTGTAGGCCTTGCTGTGGGGAATCCAGCCAGAGCTGGTGTAGCTGGTAGACCCCATGCTTCCCTTTCCTCACTAAGGAGTTTGCTCTGGTGTAGGAATGATCCCAGAGCCTCCTTGTTGGCCCTCTTTCTCCCTCCTGCAGGCAGAGAACTCGGCACTTGCCCAGGCCAATGAAAACCAGCGGGAGACCTATGAGCGCTGTCTAGATGAGGTCTGTGAGGTCTCCAGGGGGACCGATGCAGGGGAAGCTGGGGAAGCGGGGAGGGGCACAGGCTGTCCGTGCTCCAGGCAGAGGCCGGTGGGCTGAAGCTCTGCCTTGGGCCCTCTGTCCCCAGGTTGCCAACCATGTGGTGCAGGCACTGCTAAACCAGAAGGTAAGCGGCCATGGGGAGATGGGGAGACCTTCTCACCCCTGAGCCCAGACACCCTGGGGAGAGACCCTGAATATAGCAGGGGGAGTCCTTCCTGAGGACCCCTGAGCCTATTCACGCAGGGGCTAGAGGAGGGAGCTTGGTGGAAATGGTCTATTGACCCTCCAACAAGGCTCCCTCTCCCCACCTCGGACAGGTCCATACTGTTCTGCCGGGAGGCACAGGTGGGCTAGGTAAGGCCAAGTCTCTGAGTAACTTTGATTTGGGCTTGAACACTTCCCCAGTCCTGGCCCCAGCAGGCTTCTCCAGATCGTGATGGCCCTGATCGCAGTGTTAATATTGTGAGCATAAGGTGGCATCTAAATATTTACTCAAGTACTGTGGGAACTTCTTGACTTCTGAGCCACTCTGACCCCCAGGTCTTCCTCTGCCTTATATGGGCCCTTCTTTGATGTGTGGTTTCTAAGAGGCCGGAGTTGGCTCAAGGGATGAGAAAGATGCTGAAGGGAGTGGGATTTACCTCCCACTGGGGGTGGTAGACTTTAGAGAATTTATCACCCCAGAAAATGTGACAGCTATCAACACAGGCAGGCTTAGCTCCCCCTAGACTAGGAGGCTGCAGGAGAAGGGCATGCACAGTGGGAGTGCCCGTCACTCTGGTGAAGGATACTGGGCTCCTACCCCTCACCCCCTCCCTGCCATCCCCTCCTTGTCTCCCTCCACCTCCCCGGGCTCAGGACCTGCGGGAGGAGTGCATCAAGCTGAAGAAGAGGGTGTTTGACCTGGAACGGCAGAACCAGATGTTGAGCGCCCTGTTTCAGCAGAAACTCCAGCTGACGACAGGCTCCCTCCCTCAGGTGGGCACAAGCTTCACCTTCCCTTCTCCTACCTCAGCTTCCTGCCACTCCCAGCCCCATCAGCTTCATCACCTCCTTCTCTCCTGACACCTGAAGAAGCAGGCCACCAGCCATCCCATCCGTTCTGGGAGCTGTGGCCCTATGGGGAAGCCTGATAGATGTGAGCCTTAGATGGGCAGAGGAAGATTCCCTGAGTCCCCTCGAGCTTGGCCCTCCCCCACCTCCCAGGTGCTCCTTGCCCCGCTGGAGGGCATCCCTTGTTGTTGACAGAGAAGGTTCTTGCTTGGCTCTGGCTCTGTGTGGGGCGATGGGCGGAGGCTGAAGATGCAATGATTTCAAGCTCCCAAGGGGCTCCTTTGGCCACCGAGTTGATTCTTCTTGGCCAGGGGCAGGGGTGGGGCTGGGCGTAAGGCGCCCAGTGCTGGGTGTCACAGAGAGGTCAGGAAAGGCACTTCCCCCTGGGTCACTCTGTGTGTGCGCATAGTTGCCTACGCTCGCCCAGGGACACGCAGGCATGTCCTCAAACGCTAGCCCTGATCGTAGACCTGCCTTACCCAGGAAAAGCAGAAGCTACTAGTAATGAATCCTGAACTCAGTCAAGATGTCACTTGGGGGAGCCTGGGTGGCTCAGTCGGTTAAGCGGCTGACTCTTGATCTCAGCTCAGGTCTTGATCTCAAGGTCGTGAGTTCATGCTCTATACTGGACTTAAAACAACAATAGAAAAAGATGTCACTTGCGGTCTCTCTATCAGGAGCCCCAAGGCTGGGTGAGATCGGGGGTGGGAGGACCGGGCCCAGCCCCAGGGTGTGGAGGTGAACCTCGGGTTCTGAGGTCAGCATATCCCGGCCCCACCCCCAACCTTGACAACAAGAGAAGCACCTTCGTATCTGTCTGAATGTGCATGCCTGTCTAATGCAAGCCAGGCAACTCTTGGCCCCCAGACCTTAGGCAGGATGTTCCACAGCTCGCTGGGAAGCCCCAGCCCCTGGCTGAGGCTTCTCATCACTCTGGCCTTTTTGGAGGCTCTGTTCCCAAGCCTGTGCGGAGCTGGGTCTGAGTTGGTGACAGTGACCATGTAGCTCTTCCTGTCCTGGATCTGTCCCTGCTACCAAGGTCACCTGGACTCCCCAGAGGCCTAAGCCCACTAGCCAAGCCTACCCCGTCCATGCCTTTCCTTGGTGACGAGTGATAACAGAGGTGTGGAGCATCCTTAAATCACTAAAATGAAATCTGGGGCCTTTGAGGGTTTGGGGCAATAATAGCTCTATCTTCCCCAGCAGTAACATGACATAATAAAAAGAGCATGAACCTTGGCCTCAGATATGTTTGGATGGGGTCCCTAACTGAGCTAATTCTTAGCTGTGTGACCCTGGGCAAATTATTTAACCTTATGAACCCCAGTTTTTTTTCTCATAAGTGAAGATTAAGATACTTATGTTGCCTGTTGTCGTGAGGATGAAATGAAATACTATATGGTGTTTGGCCCTTAGTCGTGGTCAATAACTAGCAGCTGCTTATCATTATTAATGTTACTCTCAGGCTGTGCTTTGTTATGATGAAAGCTCCATTGAGCAAATGCTAATAAAGCTCTTACAGTGAGCAGTGCCTTTGCCAACACATATATGGAATCGGACATGGAATTGGACGGGGCTGTGTCTGTGCCAAGCACAGAAACCCTCGGGGCTGTACTGCTCCAAGTTAAAGCAGGTCCACAGATAGCCATCGTATGGGGCTGTAACATCTGGGGGCCCAAAGGGGTGAGAGGCCAGCAGAGTGGCCTTAAGGAGGTGACACTGGATCTGGGCCTTGCTGCACAGGTGATGTGAAAAGTAGAGTTGGGGGTGGGGAGAAGGGAGGCCCTGTGGGAGGAACCTCGGGGAAACTGAGGCAGAAGCAAGCTGTTCGGCTGGGCTGGAATGAAGGCTGTGCGAAGGGGCAGTGAGTGAGAACCAGAAGTGGAGGGAAGGACCAGCAGGCTGGGCCCAGAAAGCTGGTTGAGGGGTCCAGACCATCTCCTTTAGGCAGTGGACAGGGGTAGGAGACTTGGAGCACAAAGATGCTTTAGATGAAAAAGGAAAAATTACTTCTGCTTTGTGGATAAGGGGTTGGTAAAGCCACCAAACCAGGTCAGGGAGACAAATAGCCAAGCAGCTTCCAGACCAGAAGAGTGAGGATCTGAGCTGTAGCCGGCCCCCACCCCCAACCCCCTCAGAAGAGGGAGAAAGGCCACGGAGGCAGGAGTTTAAAGCTAACTCCTGTCTAGTCAAGATGCCTTGGAGATGAAAACGACATTCTCAGGGACGGAGAGAGAAGTGACCGATGATTAGTGGTAACTTCGTCATCCTCAGGGACCAGTTGGGGGAGGACAGAAATGATAATTCCTGCCACCTCTGTTCTCCAACCCAGTAACAAATGCCTTTCCCTTAGTCTCAGCCATCCCTGGGAGGCTCGGGTCACAGGCAGTCAGAACAGGAAGGGACTCCGCAGAGAAGCAGAGTGCCCTTGGAGTCTCCGGGGGCACCAAATTAGGCTGGCCACTGCCCTCTGCCCCAGGGATGTTGTTCTTTCTCCAGAGCCCCAAACCAACCCCATCTCCCTGTCACCTGGGGCCACATGTCTTCATTCCACCTGTGCACGGTCTCCCAGGGCTCCTCTGTCCAAGTGGTGGGGACAGTGGCAGAAGCCACACTGGAGGCCAAGAGACATCCATCCCCTGAAGGAGCAGACTTGGAAGAACACAAGGGGAAGGCTGAACTTCAGGAGGGGGCAGGGTCTCTGGACAGAGCACCCCTGGGCTGACTCTGCCTCTTACCTGCAGATCCCGCTAACGCCACTCCAGCCGCCATCAGAGCCCCCGGCCTCCCCCTCCCTGAGCTCTGCCGAGGGACCGACCACCTCGCTGCCTCTGGGGCACTGTGCGGGGCAGAGAGAGGTAGGAGAGCTGGGCACAGTGGTCTGTGGTTTCGCTGGCAACGGACTTCTCAGTCGCTACTGCGTTGCTTTTTCCTAAGGAGTCCCAGGAGAAACGCCCGCTTCCTGGAGCCCAGATGCCTGTCTAGGTGTGAGCCCTCAGCGGTCAGCCTTAGACTGAGAGAAACAGGACCCCACTGGCAATCGCTAGCCTTGCAAGCAAATTAATTAGTGGTAGACTTGTGTGGATCACCTTTCCTGAGCTCTCACTCGGTGCTGCACACCTGGGTCTCACATATTTTTTAGTAATTTTTGGTCTATATTTACAATTGCCTCTATTCAAGTCTAGAACTATTATTCATTTATTCTTTTGCTTCTCTGATTTGCTTTATTTTATGAGGTTAAGCATAATCACCACCCCATTTTATAGGCGATGCCATGAAGCTCAAGTTAAAAAACTTGCTGAGTCTATACAACTAGTTGAGCAGTAGACCTGGGACTTGAACCTGCATAGTCAGGCTCAAGGGCGCAGGTAGTTAACCACTTTGCCAGATGAGCTGGGCCCAAGAAGGAGCTGGGCAGAAACAGGGAGAGGCTTGCCATGGAGTTTCCCCAGTTCCTGCCTCCTGGGGGAGCAGGTCTGCAGCACAGCTGTCTGACCTGAGAAGGCCTGGGCTTTCCAGCAGGGACTGACTTAGTGCTTGGCCCCATTGCCTCCCCTTCTTGAGTCTCTGTGTTATTTCTGGAGCCTGGAAAACAGACAGGCCTCCCTCCCCTGGGGCAAACATAGATATCCAGGTTGTAGGTGGTGTCAGCCCTGCTAACCCAAATAGCAGTGGGGGAAGTCTGCACCCCGCCCCAGGTACACCAGGAGGAAGAGGTGGGGTAACCAGGGCCCAATGACTTGAGGAAGCTGAGCTGTCCTATCAGAGAAGCTGTTCTTTCCTTGTGAGGACCAAACCAGGCCCGCTATGTTCCTGACACAGTCAGTCTGGTCCAGCTCAGGTCCTGGGTCTGCACATGGGCTCCTGCTCACGTCCTTTCTCCCCAAAGGTATGTTGGGAGCAGCAGCTACGGCCAGGAGGCCCAGGACCCCCGGCCGCCCCACCGCTGGCCCTGGATGCCCTGTCCCCGTTCCTTCGAAAGAAAGCGCAGATCCTGGAGGTGCTGAGAGCCCTGGAAGAGACCGACCCCTTGCTGCTTTGCTCGCCTACCACCCCGTGGCGACCTCCCAGCGAGGGTCCTGGCTCCCCAGAGCCCATCAATGGCGAGCTGTGTGGCCCACCCCAACCCGAACCCTCCTCCTGGGCCCCCTACCTGCTCCTAGGCCCTGGTAGCTTGGGAGGCCTGCTACACTGGGAGCGCCTCTTGGGGGGCCCAGGGGAGGACGAGGGTGCTGGGCGGATCTGGGGCCCTGGCAGGGGCCCCTCCCAGGCTCCAGGCACTGGCTCTGGGCCCCCCTGTGCCCCAGGCAGCAGCTCCTCCTCCTCCTCTGATGAGGCGGGTGACCCCAATGAGGCACCCAGCCCGGACACCCTACTTGGGGCCCTGGCCCGCAAACAGTTGAACCTGGGCCAGCTCTTTGAGGACACAGAGTCTTACCTGCAGGCCTTCTTGGCTGGGGCTGCGGGCCCACTCAGTGGGGACCCGCCAGGTCCCGGGCAGCCATCTTCTCCAGACCAGGGGCCCCCACAGCTGTCCAAGTCCAAAGGCCTCCCCAAGTCAGCTTGGGGTGGGGTTACTCCAGAGGCCCAGAGGCCAGGCTTTGGTGCTACCTCAGAGGGCCAGGGGCCCCTCCCCTTCCTCAGCATGTTCATGGGTGCGGGTGATGCCCCCCTGGGCTCACGGCCTGGCCACCCCTACTCCTCATCTCAGGTGAAAAGCAAGCTCCAAATTGGCCCCTCTTCTCCTGGGGAAGCCCAGGGGCCACTTCTGCCCTCTCCAGCCAGAGGTCTCAAGTTTCTAAAGCTGCCTCCAGCTTCGGAGAAGGTCCCCAGCCCAGGAGGCCCCCAGCTCAGCCCCCAGCTTCCCCGGAACTCCCGAATTCCCTGTCGAAACAGTGGCTCTGACGGCAGCCCCTCCCCACTACTGGCCCGCAGGGGTCTGGGTGGAGGAGAGCTATCCCCGGAGGGAGCACAGGGCCTGCCCACCAGCCCTTCCCCCTGCTCCGCAGCTCTGGACTCTGCACAGCTCAGACCACCCCCGCCAGCCTTGTCTACCACACTGTCCCCGGGACCCGTGGTTTCTCCCTGCTATGAGAACATTCTGGACCTTTCCCGGAGCACCTTTAGGGGGCCTTCCCCAGAGCCATCTCCATCCCCACTGCAGGTACCCACCTACCCACAATTAACTCTGGAGGTGCCACGGGCCCCTGAGGTCCTCAGAAGTCCTGGAGCTCCCTCCAGCCCTTGCCTCCCAGAACCCTGCTCCTATGGGAGTGCCCAGGAGAAGAGTCTGGACAAAACTGGCTCGGAGTCTCCCCATCCTGGCCGCCGGACCCCCAGCAGCTCATCCAAGAAACCCAACCAGGGGGCCGGGCGGCGACCTGGGGATCCTGGCTACACCCCTCTGCGGGACAGACTGGCGGCCCTGGGGAAACTGAAGACTGGCCCCGAAGGGCTGGAGAAAAACGGGGTGCCAGCCAAGCCTGGCACCGAGAAGGCCCGGGGAGCAGGGAGGTCAGGGGAGAGCCCTGGAGACGTGGCGCCTCCCACCCCCAGGCCTCCTGAGGGGCCAGAAGCCAAGGGGGCCCTGCGGGGGGCAGTGGCCTTGGGCACGAGCAGCCTGAAGCAGCAAGAACCTGGGCTCCTGGGAGACCCCGGGGCCCGCATCTACTCCTCCCACTCCATGGGGGCCCGGGTGGACCTGGAGCCCGTCTCACCGCGGAGCTGCCTCACCAAAGTGGAGCTGGCCAAGAGCCGGCTGGCAGGGGCCCTGTGCCCCCAGGGACCCCGCACCCCTGCCAAAGCACCAACCTCAGCCCCCAGCCTTGGCAAGCCCAGTAAGAGCCCCCATGGCAGCCCGACGAAGCTGCCTTCCAAGTCACCCACCAAGGTGGTACCGCGCCCTGTGGCCCCACCGACAACCAAGGAGCCCCCGAAACCTGACAAGGGGAAGGGCCCGCCTTGGGCTGACTGTGGCGGTGCTCCGGCCCAGTCTACGGCCCCCACCCCCGGCCCCGCGGACCCCAGCCAAGTCTCAGAGGGCCGGGCCCCACACTCGGCCATCGAGGAGAAGGTGATGAAGGGCATCGAGGAGAACGTACTGCGGCTGCAGGGCCAGGAGCGGGCGCCAGGCACCGAGGCCAAGCACCGCAACGCCAGCAGCATCGCCAGCTGGTTCGGCCTGAAGAAGAGCAAGCTACCGGCACTGAACCGCCGCACCGAGACTGCCAAGAGCAAGGAAGGGGCCGGCGGGGGCTCCCCGCTCCGGAAGGAGGGCAAGATGGAAGCCCGGAAGCTGGAAGCTGAGAGCCTCAACATCTCCAAGCTGATGGCTAAGGCGGAAGACCTGCGCCGGGCTCTGGAGGAGGAGAAGGCCTACCTGAGCAGCAGGGCCCGGCCACGGCCTGGAGGCCCAGCCCCGGGACCGAGTACCGGGCTGGGGCAGGTGCAGGGCCAGCTGGCTGGCATGTACCAGGGCGCAGACACCTTCATGCAGCAGCTCCTCAACAGGTGAGGGTGGCCGGGGACCAGGCTGCGGGTGGGAGTGGCTGGGGGCCGCTCTTCCCTCCCTGTGCCTGCCTGGGGGTGGGACTGCTTTTCCTGAGAGCAGAAAGGGTAGGGGGTCAAGTACAATGCCACCAGAGCAGCTGGGGGTTAACAGCCTGGCCTAGAGGAGAGACTGGGTCTTGGATCCAAAGCCTGGGGTTTGTGCCCCAGCTCCGTTCCTCTCTGGCTGTGTGAGGTTGCACGTGCTGAGACCCGGCTTCTCATTTAAGGGGAGCTGATCGTCCATGGTTTCCTAAATCGTCTCTGGCGTCAGCCGAGGCACCGGAAGTGCTGCCTGCATAAGAAGTTAGGGGACTGCTGGTTCCCAACCGGGGTCTGATAGCTCACTCTGGGATTTTCTGCCCTATTGCACAAGGGGGCTCCCCTTCCCATCTTGCCCACTCAGATTCGGTGGCGGGAGCAGGGTCGCAGAGAAGGGCCCATCTGTCTGGTCTCGGGGTTGCTTCATCCGGGCCAGATGAGGCAGAATGTCCGTGGGGGTTGGGCACCAGGTGGGGTGTGTCATGCATGGACAGGAGGTGACCAGGCTGCCATCTACTAGCAAATGGTATCGCAAGATCTTTGGGCCTGACCTTGTATGGCTTTGGGGAACTTGTCCCATCTCCCCTGCCCCTGCTGTTTCTCTGAGACTTTCCCTAGAGTCTCTGCCTGTCCCCAGCATCAGGAGGGATTGCTGGCAGCAGCCAGCAGGGCTACATCCCCTATCCCGGGGGCAGAGGGCAGTGGGGATTTCACAAGACCCACCCCCACCAATGGGAGTGAGGTTGGAGTGGATGCACCCAGGCCTCCCTTCACCTTCGTCTACACTGCTGCCCGTAGGGTGGATGGCAAGGAGCTGCCGCCCAAGAACTGGCGGGAGCCCAAACCCGAGTATGGCGATTTCCAGCCAGTGTCCTCTGACCCCAAGAACCCCTGGCCAGCCTGTGGGCCTCGAAATGGCCTGGTGGGGCCTCTTCAGGGCTGTGGAAAACCTCCTGGAAAGGTAGGCTCTTGACGGCTAGGTATTGGGCCTGGCTCGATGTCCCACCCCTTGGAGGGTCCACTTCCCTGGGGCGTGGAAGCTGGTGGGTGTGCTCTTGGTCTCTGGGGGCTGGTGGGCTCCAGGGGTCCTAATGACGGAGCTTGGGTAGGGGCCTAGGAGGGGGCGGAAGGAAGGGGTCCTGAGGTCTCCCTTACCCCCACACAGCCGAACAGCGAGTCAGGAAGGCGGGAAGAGATGCCCTCAGAGGACAACCTGGCTGAGCCAGTGGCCACCTCACACTTCACAGGTCAGCAGGGTCAGGGGCCAAGAATGGGACCCGTCCCTCACCCCCTGCCCCATTTGTTCCTTTCCTGTCACTGCAGCAGGTGCAAGGCCCTGAGCAGCATCTTGGGGCCAAGCACCAGGTGGGCATTGGGGCTACACAGAATTAAATCCTTCCCTGCCCTCGGGTCCCCGGCCAGCCCCCCACACATATCCCTGCAAGTCTAGGGGCATGGAGGGGGAGGACTGGCAGGGCTGATAGCTGGTTGGGCCGGGAGGGGCCATGACCAGGTGGGGAGCCTAGGCTGAGGCAGGAAGCCAGAAGAAGGCGGTGGAGGGGCTGAGACCACGGCCTCACATCCCCAACTTCCCCTCCCCTCCCCAGCCTGTGGCTCCTTGACTCGAACCCTGGACAGTGGCATTGGGACCTTTCCACCCCCAGACCATGGCAGCAATGGGACCCCCAGCAAGAATCTTCCCAAGACAAAGCCACCACGGCTGGACCCCCCACCCGGAGTGCCCCCGGCTCGGCCCCCACCCCTTACCAAAGTACCCCGCCGTGCCCACACGCTGGAGCGTGAGGTGCCGGGCATAGAGGAGCTGCTGGTGAGCGGGCGGCACCCTAGCATGCCGGCCTTCCCCGCGCTGCTCACCGCCACTCCAGGCCACCGGGGCCATCAGCCTTGTCCTGACGGTAAGTGTCTGTGCGGAAGGGTGTATCATCCCTGGAGCTCTGCCCACCACCATCCACCTTCCCCTTGTCCCCTTGCAGATCCCTGTGAAGACCCAGGTCCTCCCCCTCCCGTCCAGCTGGCTAAGAACTGGACTTTCCCCAACGCAAGGGCAACCAACAGCTCCACTGACCCTTTTCTTTGCCCATCCCGACAATTGGAGGGGCTGCCCAGGACCCCCATGGTGAGCATGACCAGAGGGGAAAGGGGACAGGCCCAGAGGGCGGGGGGGATGACATGGGGAGCCCAGTTCCTGTCTTAGAAGAGGCTGAAGGGTGAGCTTCCTTGGATGCCCCTCTGGACAGCCAACCACCTGCCCCTTCTCATACTGCTCTTGGAGAAGGGGTTTCTCTTCCCACAGAACGTTGGCAGGACCACACTCAGTTGTGTCTCTGGTCGCCTTGGTGGGCCCCATGGGCAGCACCCTATCAGGTGGGAGGAGCCCAGCACCTTTCAGGCCCGCCTGGGAGGTGAAAAGTGCCTCCTCCTGAGCTTCCCTTCCTTTCCCAGGCCCTGCCCGTGGACCGGAAGCGGAGCCTGGAGCCCAGCCGCCCAGCCCCTCCACCCCAGGGCCCGGCATTCGGAGGTAGCCGCACGCCGAGCACGTCGGACATGGGCGAGGAAGGGAGAGTGGCCAGTGGGGGTCCCCCAGGTTTGGAGACCTCAGAGTCTCTCAGCGACTCCCTCTACGATTCGCTCTCCTCCTGTGGGAGTCAGGGCTGAGGGGCCACGCCGCACGACGGCCCCTCTCTGGAGTTGGAAACCACTGACTGGACCAGCTCTCCTCGTGCCCCATCCCTCGGGGCAGGTGGGGCCCCTCCCTGCAGGGACCAAGGAGGCAGATGGATCAGAAGGTGAAGGGGGTCCCTGACACACCCCACTGTCCACCGCTGCTGTGGAGGAGATGACCGCTCTCAGCTCAGGGAGAGACCCCACCCTTGGTCCCTTCTCTCACCTGGAGTAAGGCTCTTCCTCCGAGGGACTGGGGGTTCAAGGTCGCTGTGTCCTGGCCCCCGCTCCCCCTTTCAGGCTGAGCCATCCTGTGGTGCTGGGCTTCCCGCCCGCCAGCTGTGCCATCTCTGCCCAACCCGGCCGCTCCCTGCCCTGGAGCCACGTGGGACTAGCCCAGAGGCCCCGGGCCGGTGGAGTCTAGGGGCAAAGGGTCAAGTTGCCTTCTCTCTCTGTCTGCCCTGGTCCTCCCTGCTGTCTGGATGGTGCTGCCCTCCCTGCCCCATGTCTCTGGGGTCCATTTGTCTGTCTTTTTGTTGTTTTTTTTATATTGAAGCGCCTGGCCCAGTCCCCAGCCCCCATCCCTGCGCTGCGGTTAATTTATCTGTCGTTAAGAACTCGGCTGCTCTGCTTCCAGCCTCTGCTTCTGCCCTCTTCCTAATAAAATGTGGAGGTCCCTCCCTGCCCTGGACTCCGCTTTTTCTCTGGGAGGACTCCGGGTCGGACAGAGAGGTGGAGGCTGCGTGGGCACCAGGCTGCGGGACCCCAGGGACCTAGACTTTGCCTCAGGTGCCCTTGTCACCTTAGAAGGTCACTAAGCATTGGGGAAGTGGGGCCTGCTTAGGCCTGGGCTGGTTCCTGGGGCCAGGGGGATTCGTTCTTCCTGGGGTAGGGCGGAAGGCTGGGCTGTCTGTGGGGAAGGTGGCCGTGGGCATGCACACCAACTCCTGTATGTGCTGGGGGGATGGGATGTGCAAAGTGAGCTTTGGGAGCTGCTGTGTAGACAGACTTAAGTGTCTGTAGCCTCCTGTTGCCAGAAAGCAAAGCACAGCTGGGTCTCAAACTTGCCACCTCCTTTTTTTTTCTTTTATTTATTTGAGAGACAGCATGAGCCGGGGAGCGACAGAGGCAGAGGGAGAAGCAGACTCCCTGCTGAGCAGAGAGCCCCGAGACAGTGGGGCTCCATCCGAGGACACCAGGATCATGACCTGAGCCAAAGGCAAACGCTTAATCTGAGCCGCCCAGGCACCCCTCTACCTCAGATTTCAACCAGGAGTTCCCCTGGCTCTGAAATTCTTACTTCAGGAAGGGGAGGCCAAGAATGAGGCTTTGTGGAAGGGTCTAGGCTTCTAGGAGTAATTTCATACTCTCCACATGGCATGAAAAGGCCACGGGGTGGGGGTGGCTCCCTAGTCCTTGGATTTCCTGTTGGGCATGGAGCTAGGCACTATCTGAAGGTGAACCAACTGTCACGCATCGGCCAGCCAAGTTGGGCTTAGCAGGGCCTCCTTCCTGCCCAGGTTGCTGGGTGTGGGTGTGGGGTGACTTGTGGAGTGCCCACTAGACCACGCCTACACTCAGCCTCTCCCTGTGACATGATCTGAAGGCCCCATGGGTGGCATGCATTTGGTACCCCTGGCCTTGTGGGGATTCTGGACAGTTCATCATAGGGGTGGGGGCCCTCTGGTGACCACATGGTCTGTGATGGCAGCACAGGCTTACAGAGCTGAGGTCGGGGTGCCTGGCGGCCAGTAGGCCTGGGCCCATTCACACGTTGGTGATACCACTGACTGCCGCTCTGTGCCCTGGCCAGCCTAAGGCAGGTTGGGATGGGGAGGGTGTCAGGGCCTCCCTTTCTACTAACTCCTAGTAGCGTCTCCAGCCACAGAATGCTACAGAGAGTGGTAGAAGAAACTCCCATTAAAATAAACACCAGCCATGCTACCAGCCTCCTGATCCCCAATACCCACCAGAGCATTATTTCAGAGACGAAGGCATCAAGGCTCGGAAGCATCCAGTGGTTTTCTAAGGCTGAGAAGTGATGGAGCCTAATGAGGGGGATTTCTTTCTGAGTGTGTAGGTTGCCTTTTTCCCAGCAGGACTTTAATTTTCTCCTCCCTTTTTGGCCTGTGGATCACTCCTGATGGACAGGGCTTGACAGCACCTGACAGGGAACACAAGAGTCTTAGCCATTAAGTCTGGTTTTGTGGGGGAAAGTGGAATCCTTTCTCTGGGCCTTGGTTTTCCTCATCGATAGAAGGAAGATTAGGAGGTTGGGCCAGACCATCTTTGTCTGTAGCTCTGTAGTTCCTCCTATGCCTCCTTTAAGCTGGCCTCTCTCCCCCCCATTTCCCTCAGTTGATGTCCTGGAAAAAATTAACAAGACTTAGAGAAGAGTCAGGTTGGATGTCTTCGTTTTTCTCTAACTGTCCCAATCCCATTTTCTCACTTCTGTCCTCTACCTGCAGCTCCTATCCCAATGTCCCTTCCACTTTCCTGGGCCTGCATCCGATATTGCCAAGAGGCTGATCTGCCTCTTACCACAAGGGCTACACAAAGGCTACATCCTTCTAACTTCTTACTTCTGGGTTCTTCAAGCGCCTTTCTCTGTTTGAACCTGATGTATTACCTCATTTCCTTGTCAGCCCAGAATTGTTTGCCTGCCGGATATTTACTCTCTGTCCTTTCCGGGAAAGAGTTTGGCATGGTGGGTTTGACTCCGGACTCCGCCTGCCTCCGGCAAGCTGAGACCAAATGGCCCATCTATATTTCTGACCCCAGGGTCTGGCCCATCTGCTCTCAGGCTCTGTTCCGCAGGGTTGCAAACGCAAGGTGACAATGTGGGCCAACCAAAGTCAGCCCTGCCCCACTGACGGTTCCAGTGTGGGCCGCTCTCATTCCTAAATCCCTCCCTGTCCAGCTCACGGAACTGTGTGTGCCCTCCATCTGAAGCAGTCCTGTGGAGGGGGTCACACAAGTGAGTTAAAGACACTCCTGGGAAACCAGTTTCTCCTTATACTTTGAGGGATGGTTTGACTAAAAGACTCCTTGGTCTTCACTATGACATGATACTGTCTATCTCGGTTGGCAACATCTGCTGGCAGGATTCAGGTGACCTCCCTGTTTTCTCCACAAACAATGGGTGTGATGTTTGTCTTACCGTTGTGTGTGACCCCTTCTGCCGAATTTTCCCAACAGAGGAAGCCAAAACTGCCAGGCGCCCCTCCTCCCCCTTCAAATGGCATCAAGGCATCAGCAAAAGACTGAAAAGGTTTCAGGTTTCACATCACTGAGCACCCTGCCTTTTACAGGAAATGTCCTAAAATGTTAACAGGTTTCCTCTGGGTTGCCAAGAGCTTTTATTGCTAAATTTTCTACAAACAGTATGGTTTGTTTTCTTTATCAAAAAAGGTTTTAAAAAAGAAACAGTCATGCTCGGCAGCAAACTCTAGATATACACACCCATTCTTTAATCCTGTGTGAGTTAATTCAAACATGTTTTTTGTTTTTTTTTTTAAAACTTGTGAATGTCAAGTAAATATAGGTGAGCATTTCTATGATCTTGGGATGAGGATGAACTTTTTTTTTTTTAAGATTTTATTTATTTATTTGACAGACAGAGATTACAAGTAGGCAGAGAAACAGTCAGAGAGAGGAGGAAGCAGGCTCCCTGCTGAGCAGAGAGCCCGATGCGGGGCTCGATCCCAGGACCCTGGGATCATGACCTGAGCTGAAGGCAGAGGCCTCAAACTGCTGAGCCATCCAGGCAGCCCGAGGATGAACTTTTAAAGATCTTTTTGGTAATTATTAAAGACATACACATTATAAAAGTGCACGTATCTTTAAAAACTTTTTTTAAAAAGTGCATTTGTTTCTTTTTTAAAAAAGTAATTAAAATTGAATAGAATGTTATAGAAGGAAGAAGCATCTCTTTCATACCGCAAATCCCAATCTCGCTCCCCAGATATAACCCAAGTTGATGGGTAACCTTTTCAAATCATGTTTTATTTTTTTAATTAATTAATTAGTTTTTAAAAAGATTTTATTTATTTATTTGACAGAGACATAGCGAGAGAAGGAACATAAGCAGGTTCTCCGTTGAGCAAGGAACCCGATGCGGGGCTCAATCCCAGGACCCTGGGATCATGACCTGAGCCAAAGGCAGACACTTAACGACTAAGCCACCCAGACGCCCCTCAAATCATGTTTAAATGCACGAGTGTACATACACACACACACACAGAACATGTTTATGTTGACCTTTTATTAAACAATGAAATTATTCTATAGTTACTGATCTGCTTCTTTTAGCATTTAATAATGTATCTTGGGGATTTTTCCAAAGTCCATGAATCTCCATAACCGTACATGGTCTTCTGTTGTATGGCTATGCCATGTTCATTTGTGCTGCCATGGCAAGCAGTGCTGCAGTGAATAAATATTGCATGTGTGTCTTTGGCCACTCGTGTATTTTCACAAGATTTTTTTTACCAATGGAATTGCGAGGTCAGGGGGGCTGGGTGGCTCAGTCGGTTAAGCGTCTGCCTTTGGGTCTGGTCATGATCCTAGAGTCCCAGGATCAGCCCTACATCAGGCTCCCTGCTTGGTGGGGTGTCTGCTTCTCCCTCTGCCCCTCCCCTGCTCATGCTCTCTCTCTCTCTGTCAAATAAATACACAAAATCTTAAAAAAAAAAAAAAAAAGGAATTGCTAGGTCATAGCATATGCTTAACTTAAACTTTTTGCAGATATTAACAAATCGCATTTCCCTAACAATGTATAAGTGAGACTACCTTCTACATCATTCAGTATTATTAAACTTTTTATTCTCAACTAATGTGGTCAGAGTAAGTTATCATGTAGAGTCTTGTGACCTAATGTTAACGACTTTGACTTATACTCAGAGTGAAATGGAAGCTGTTAGAGAGGGATAAAGAATGAACTAGAGAGGGCAAGTATGGCAGCAGACCAGGAAGGGGGCCCCTTGGGTAACTCTGATGACAGATGGTGGCAACCTATTCCAGGGTGGGGACACTGTAGACACTAAAATTCGCTAATGTAATTGATGTGAAGAAAGGAGAAGAGCCAAGGGTAACTCCAAGGGTTTTAGACCATTTGGTAGGAAGAAGTTGCCATTAACCGTTAAGGGGGAGAGTAAATAGAGCAGACTTGGGGGAGGGAAGATCAGGAGTTAAGTGTTGGCCACGTTAAATTTGAGATGTCTATTGGACACCATCCAGTGGAAAATGTGGAGTAAGCATTTGGTTATAGAAGTCCAGAGTTTAGAAAAGAAGCCGGGGCTAGAGGTATAAATTAGTAAGTCATCAACATATGGATGTTATTTAAAGCCAGGGGCTGGATGAGATCAACAAAGGAGTAAGAGGAGGAAAGGTCTGAGTCCTAAATCCTGGGATCCTTCATTTCTTCAGAGGTCAGAGGAAATGAAGAGAGATCACAGAGGAGACTGAAAAAACAGTACCAAGAGAATATGGGGTCCTGGGATATAAAAAAAGAAAACATTTCAAGAAAGATGAATCGGTAAGTTTTGCTGATGCATCTGTCAAGATGAGGATTGAAAATTGTTCCTTCAATTTAGTAATACAGAAGTCACTGGTGACCTTAGTGAGAGCCCCGGTGGAAATGAGAGCTGTCTGGAGTGGTTCAAGAAGAAAACGTGCAAGGATGG